TGGAATTCGACTGAATTACTTGAAGGTACGATGAGAACTTGAGTGTCAGGCAGTTGGCTATAGGTGGGTGGTTCATTCGTCGACATGGTCAAATGTGAAGTGGCAATAAACAGCGGTAGTTAATTTGACACCGACCATAACCAAGTGCAGGACTACACATTTCCTCTAGACTCGATTCATAATATACAAACTTTCAGAACACAACAAGATACATATTTGCATAGAATGAATAGGACCGGTACCCAAATAGAACCAATCGAGATCAGTGACGATGAACCGCCACGAGGCCAAAAGCGGAAAAGAGATGCTTCAGAAATTATTCAAGAAGTCTCCGAGCAGTATGGGCTACCTAGTCGTTCCACGGTATGCAATCTTCTCGCAGATAACCCTTGCCCTCACATGAACATCGTAGAACCCACTAAAGTCAAACCCTCTCAATCATAATAATGCCAGCAACTCAATTAGGCTCAAAAGACTCCGTTTATATGCGGATAGCGTTACTCATATGACACATTCACCAAACGTCCGATCTGATATTAGTCAACTGATAGTTGAGGAATTCCCCGTGCCATCTTCAGGAGTTGATGATACTGTCGTGCAACTAGATGAATGGTCGATTCGTCGAGCAGACTCTGTCATCATCAAACCGAAAGCGGTACTAATGTTCATTCATTCGCTCACTGCCAAGTCTAATGTATTCCAGAAGGGAGAACGAGTCGTTAATTGTAGACACAGATTCAAAGCAGGTGAATCTAACCGTACCAGGTTTAAAATTGATTTATTCCAGGTATATGCAGGGCAACCATCTGGTGCAGTTTTGCTAAGCTGCCTATAGACTCTTGAACTCTTTCGCCCCTATATTCAATCGCATACACAGCTCATTCATCGGAACTTTCGGACGTCAATATACTCCAGGGATAGTGAGGTTTTCACCTGGCATATTCTAAAGCGGTTGAGGTGTAAAACCCGGCTACGGTCAGGAGGTGCGCTTCGTCTTCAATCTCGAATTAATATAAATCATATAACACAAGCATAGGCTGCCCAATGTCGATAGCTCAGACATCGGATCATGTAGTGATAGCGGCCAATGCCTATGGAATCGATCAGCAACCTGGTAAGTACGCTTAATACCCAACAGATTTAATAACAAATGTATAGACTCGGTATCACCTGCTAATCATAATGGAGTGACTGTCCTTAATGCCGCGACCGGTGAGTATAGACGAGATGCGAGTGGCTTTACTCTCAGGTCAATTACAGGTAGCCGACTGGTACCGATGACCCCAGGACATGCACGTGTCCTTAATGCAGCTGAGAGAAGTATATAATATCTCGGGCCCCAAGGATTCTATACTCACAATTTCATCCAGGAACCGACAGAAACCGAATAAACACCCCGATCGACGAGACCAAGTACGTATTCGAAGGTCTCTTGGATGTACAATTTGATCCTGCAAGGCTTGTGTAACCATATTGAACAGTCAACCAGACAGCTGATTCGTCGACAGGAGCCATAAATTTGTCACAACAGGCATGGATAGGCAAGTTATCAGGTGGACTATTGGACATGGTCTCGGCGATTTTGAATGCTTTGGTTCCCAGATAATGGGTCGACCTTACGATCATGACTGGCAAGGTTGGTCGAAAGGAAGCTCCGAGCATTTTCACTAATATTTGCGCTATAGATTTCAAGCAGCTCAATTCACAACCTCATTTCGTTTCCTTTAGCCCAAATCACGAGCATTGGGGGACTCAGAGTGACGAAATCTCGACATATGCGATCACGGATGGAAGGGGGTAAAGCACCTCTGTATCTGTGGAGTAATCTATGCTGAAGTATCCTAGCTCATTCCATCTTAGATTCTTCAACGGCGACGAAATCGAATGCCCCATTGACAACCGCAAGGGCCAACAAATATCGTCAATAATTTGGGGCGTTGGGCCTACAAAAAATGTCATCTTTGCTGGAACGGAATCCCGGGATTTCGATACAAATACAACAACTGGGAAGCAATCCGGATATCTGATAATGAACGACGGGCGGTATATACCTTGGAAATATACTGGGGCTCAGGAAGAAGTCCAGCAATTGACGCTCAACCCAACTGGTACGCTTTGTAGATCTATTTGGGTTTATCTAAATCCTTTCAGGTGATATAATGGCGTCCTTCACAAGAGGGTGTGACACTGATACGATACTCTGTCAACGGTGTAAAAGACGGGGTATTTCATCGCGGCATACACTATCTCTATACTCTGTCAAGGAAATGAGGGACCGATTGCCACAGAATTATGAGCAAAATCGTATAGCTCACGTTCAACTACCCAGTTTTACGAGGTTTAACAACGCAGATGTCATGAGCGAGGCAGGATTAGTCGTGTCTGCAGCCTGGAGCCCCTGTGGTACTTATATTTCGGCTGCAAGAGATGACGATATAGTAGATCTGTACGACCGTCGCTTCCTACAACCCAAACCTCTAATGCGTTTAGAACATATCACACCCCCAGTGCACCTTCCCAAGTTAAGAAAAGCTTTCGACTTGACTGGACGCGAGTCTCAATGTTGCGTTGTGGTCAAGAAGCATCCTGATCACGGGGTGACTGGAATGCAGTGGATCCAGAGGGGCGGATGCTTTGCAGGAATGTCTTTGGTGACTGCAGGTAGCGATGGTACGTCTCTTAGATGATCCATTGATGATTTTTGACCAGAGATAGGTGCCGTCCGTCTATGGGATGTCAAGCAGGGCGGTAAGAGTGCCATCGTAGCACAGTTAGAGGTTAGAATATTTGAGGCGTCACTTCAAAATACTCATTTCTGATCCCTTTAAAGACAGGTGTTGCGTGTCTAACTATCGGAGATCTGTCCAAGAGAGAAATCCCGTTAATTGTGTATGTCTGTCCCTTTTAATCGGTTTAGTAGACCTAAAGGTATTATAGTGCCGATAATGATGGCTTGGTAGAATTATATAACATTTAATAGATCTGTAAATAAGCTCTCTTGTCGTATATATACTGATCTCAACGCTACGATGGCGTCAATATTATTAAATTTTCCCATCTTGATATGGTTTGCAATTGTCAGCGTCACTTGAGGAAATTAAAAAGGGCGATTGACTGGTAGAGTCAACATCCACTTGGATGCTCCAGATTCTCTGTTTTGAGAATTACAGGCTAGTGACCGCTCCATAATCACGTATTTTAGCAAGGCGAGGTCAATCAAGTCGCCGTATCTGACCCTGTGAACCAGTGAGTTTGAGAGACACTCCTAAGGAGTCACTTACACCGCTCATTGTCAGGCCTATCTGTTGCAAATGGTCAATATAGTGGGAAGAGCACATCTTATTGAGAATGCTAGCTGCAATCGGAGATCTAGACGTCCAAGAAGACATCTGCAGGAACAGTTTATCGTCACCATCCAGTTGTTGGAGCATTTTATATGGTAATGTACTCCTCAGGTTGAGTGAGAATTGACACTGACGAATGGGGCAGTACCACTGGCAGTTCTGACCAAGGGTGACAGGTTCAAACATTTCCCGGGGAACCATAGAAAGCAAATCCAATGACCCCAGATCTGAGGGTGTCTTTGATGTGTGATCACTGGATGGCATGGATAATGGAAAAGATTTGTGGCTTCCACTATCATCTTCGCTGACCTCGATGATATCCTGAATTGGGCCGATATCGGTTTCGGAAGGTGTTCTTGGATCATGTCCTTGATCTAGATCCATTGGGTTATCCTCCTCATGGTTCAAATCTTGATCCATATCTATTACATCTTGCTATGGAGGCTCGTCAACACTTCCATTAGTAGAGTATGAGACTCACCGGATGGTCTTGTTCTGCAATTATGCTCATACCATCATCCATACTGACCCAAACTGTCTCTTCGTCCTTGCAGGAATGCACTGGTGAGTTGATTTTGAAGATCCTTCACTAATCAAGACTGACCTTCTCAGGTGATTCTTGAGAAGTTTGAATGCTACACCTGAACGCTACTAGGTTCGCTTTAGTAACCAATCCTTTGTGGACACTCATGATGGCACAGAAGCTCTCTGATTCGAGGTGCTTTGCAATTTCAGGGGTGAGGGACGGTAGGTGTGACTATGAACGAGGTGTTACCAATGAAATCTAGCTTATATGATTACTCACATCTATCAAGTGATCAAAAGGTGGCTCGGAACCTTGAGATAAAGCCGAAAATATTCGTTGATACCATAGTTCATACCATGGAATGGTCTTCTTCTTTCGTTGAGCCGTTTTGTCACCATTTCTGTTGATACTTTCCATGATATGGATTATTCGGCTTTGAACAAGCACCTTCTGAGACCTATCCCGAACCAATGGGTGCATGGTAATAACTTCAAATCTTCGGTAGTCATCTGAGCCTGAAGTAGATGCGACCTGCTTCATATCGATAAACAGTTTAAGTGAAGGTGCAGATACAGGCCCTATAGGTATTTTTAGTCGAAAAGCTAGTTGGTTGGAGGGACTGACCCAACGCAGTTGTATGTCGCCAATATAGACCTTCTAATATCACATCAAAACCCTTTTCCCAATCGATTCTAATGTCTTTTTCCTGGGCTTTATTAGTCAATAACTGCATCCCTTCTCTTGATATTTGCTTTTTATTGCCTGCGGTGTTTACAAAATGGACGATTCCCCTCCACATAAGACCCTCTTCCACAACCATGTTAGCAAGGATTTTATCATCATCATGAACAAGATCCAATCCAACAGTGATATCACGAAATTCTAGAGCAAACTCCTCTAACGGCAGGACTTTTGCACTGGCCAAATCTGAAGGTGGAACCAAGAATTGGATGGCCTTAAATGGTCCCAAACAGGTCGTTGACATGGGGAATAGTTTCAGGTTATATTCCAATGGTCGATCAGGTTCGGCCTTTGCAGAGTTCTTTTGACTACGTTGTGATCGGGTAGTGGCAGACTCCAAGGTGCTTACTATGTACCCACGCTCACATCCCTCCAACTCAATACGAGATAGGAAGCTTGAATTCTATTCACTTTATGAATTTCGACATAAAACAGGTCTCAACAAAATTCAAGTGGAGAATGAAGGCGCATAAATATGAATTAAGTCGAGACGTAGACTAACGCGAGACGTTGTGGCTACAAAGAGCAAACTAGTGTACAGTATCACAGTACATATAAGTTACTCAGTCTTTCGAGATCTGTCAAGCGTCTTTCTCCACGGGAGATTGATGCAGGATGGATTCACCTACTGTCTCTCGGAGAAGATCCATCCGTCCAGTTCTATTGTTAGACAAGCCGAGCATTGGAAGAACAGATACGCTCTTTGGACGAGGTCGGGAAGCTCGCTTCGTGCTCAGGCTGCGATTGACAGGTACAGTCCCACCAAGCATGCCTTTTGTAGGGCTGGTGCTCCCATTTCTCGCGTTGAGCATCCCTAGAGCGGCCTCAGAAGCATTCGATCGAACTGCGGTAATGGACCTTGGCCGAGAATAAGGGGCATCCTGTATTGTGGACGTGGAGCTTCCAGTGGTGTGTGATGACACGCTCGATGCGCCCGTGTGGTGGATGGGCAACCATGGTGTTGCACCACTAAACGTCGCTGACACCGGTGTCCTGGTAGAGGCCGAAGCCACATTGCCATTAAGAATCAGGAGTGTCTAAAGGGCGTTAAGCATAGAGTCGTATGAAGCAAGAAAGAGGTTTTACCATGCAACTCGAGCACCAGGTCTTACCCTCTGGATCCAGTTTTGCATCCCTGTCCAGTTTCTTGCCGCATCCAGGCTCGCCCGACCTCTTTTGAACGCCTTTTCCACCACACACTAGACAGGAAGCATGCCATCGACTACCATTGGGCCCTGGAACAACACCCGGTTCCATAACCGCAACCATCTTTTCACAACCAGCACAACGGTTCTTGTTGGGTGCCACCAAAAATGCTGGTGGAGTCATGGTAGCTGTACTCAGGGCAGACGTTGGCCGCGG